ACAAACACCAAAGGGCAGAGAAAACGGTTAGCTCATTGCTTCTCAAACTTTTATGTGCCTTTAGATCACCCAGGGACCTTGCTAAAATGCAGCATTTGATTCAGTGGGTCTAGAGCGGGGCCTGAGAGTCTGCATTTTTAACAAGCTCCCAGGACCACCCTTAAATAGCAATGTTCTAGATTAAAACAGACATAACCAAATGTGGTTTGTGACCTGAGAGTGGATTCTGGATTCTCAAACAAAACAAAGCACAATAGACGTAGAAGATATTTTTGGACAAGTGGGGAAGTTAAAATATGGGCTGCATATCATTATTAGATGATATTACTAAATTAACATTAACTCTCTTGGCTATGATGATGTCATTTCAGTAAGTAGGAAATGGGGGCTGAAATATGTCTAAGTGAAAGGTCACACTTCATGCAACTTACTTTCATATGTATATAGAGAGCACAAACACAGCGAATATTAACGCAGCAAATTTAGGTGAAAGGTTATATGAGTATTTACCATCCTACTTTACTGTAGCCTTGAAAATTTTTCCAAATAAAACTTGGGGCATAAGACATGCTCCTTCCAATTCTTGGAGGATGCTCAGCTTCTATCCTAGCTCTTCTTACTCCAGGCAGAAACTGTCTTTCTTTCCTCCGGTCTGTGGCGTTCTGTGTCATTATGCTCTGGACTCAAGCTCTTTGGTATTTGGTCCTCATCTCCCCAACCTAGAGAATTCCCAGAAAACAGCCATCCTTCGCTGTTCACTTAGTCCTCCTGTCACAGCCCAACACAAATCCTGACCCTGAGATTTTTCAGAGGATGTTTTGATGGATAAATCAAATGCATTGAAGAGCGTAACTTGGATGAGGGAAGCATCACAGGGCATTGCATTTCACCCCTATATGTTATCTGAACTTAAACGCAAACCAAAAAGCCATACCATCACCACCACCACCATCACCACCACCACCACCACCACCACCACCACTGATCACATCCCTAAACAGGCATTCTGCTCCACTCTTGATGAAGAGGTAGAGGGGTACTATAAAAATACAATTGTTTTTTTAAAAAATATTTTCTTTGCTTATGAAGAGAAAGGAGACAGTTGCTTTCTCTTCTTTCTAGAAAGTGTCCCCTTGAAAACCTAACGATCCTGAGCCTTTTTGCTTTGTTCTAACCTTTTTGGATAGATCTGTCCAGGGGCTGGATAAGCCAGTCTCTAGGTTTATAACAGGGATGTCCCTAAGACTGAAGACCACAGAGCTCCTTGAAGCGGAAACACTTCTGGGGTCAACCTCGCAGCCTACCTCCCTGTCTAACCCTTTGTCTCTGGAGGAGATGAAAACTTTTATCTTTTATTGTCCCTTTTGCTTTGCTGTCTAAATTGTGTGAAATTTCATTCTGACACATATGTGTGTACTTTCAATAAATCAATTTTCTTTCTTTCCATATTGAGGTGAAGTGTCTCTTTCTTGGTAGTACTTTTACTCTCTCAAGACTACAATCTCTTTGGAAGCCGAGTGACAATATTTGTTGGAGTGAAAAATAGAAAAATATATACTCTATTCCCACTGTTAGGAATTTATCCCACAGACATGCACAGCAGGAAAAGTTCTAGAGAAAAACACAAGTATCCTTCCCTAGGCACAGATAAGATAAATTATGAAGCAGTCATACAATAGAATACTAGCCAACTCCTCAAAAGGAGGTGGATTTCCATGTGTTGATGTGGAAAGAGCTCCAACATACACGATCAAGTGGATCGCGTAAGGAGCAAAATTATGAGCTTACTATAATGATGTGTGTGTATTGAATATTTGTAGATACACAGATTTTTTTTGGAAGGACAAGGAAGAATCTGTTCATGGTGGTTATCTCAGCAAAGAGAGATTGGTGGTTGGTGGGGGAGCGTGTAAGAGATTTTTACTTTTCTTTCTTTCCCCGTGTTTCCTGGTTTCTTTTCTTAAACCATGTGAACACAATGTTTTAGAACAAATATACTGGCTTAAATGTAAATAAAACGGAGTACAACCACCACAGAGACTGAGAAACATTACTAGACTACTGTTCCAAGAGCAACACGAAAGCAGGACTTTTGTGGGCTTTGTTCGAGGCCATATCCCCATTGCTTAGAACAATCTCCTGCACACAGTAGATGCTCAGTAAATATTTGAGACTGCAATCTAAGCTCCTTCTTTGTCTTTCACCCAAGGAGTTTGACCTTGGAGTTATTTGATCTTCAGGCCAAATCTCAAGACAATCTTTGCTGATTTCCCTACATGCCTCATGTCTTCTCTTCTCCATCCCTTTGCTCATCCTGTTCTGTACACTCTCCTCCGATCTCCTTCTCCACCTGTTTGAAACTATACACACCGGGGGTGGGGGTGGGGGCGCCAAAAAAATGTACACACATAACTTGTATTCATCTTTTGTTATCGGTATATATTATCACAATTTTAATACAGTTGTTTTCCTTTCTTAAAATGTGTATGCATTTTTTTGGCACCTTCTGTATTTCTCAAGCTGACCTGAAACTCCAATCTCCAGGGAAGTTTTTCTTAAGCTTGCCTGGAAAAAATGTTCTGTCTGCATAACTCAGGGTCTCACGGTAGCCCTAGGTGCCTACCTTCCATCACTTACTATACATTATGACTTACTTTGTTTGAGTTTTGCGTGTACATGTGTCTTCCTCCCTATAACTGTGACTTCTGAGGCCAGTAAAGCCATTCTCACGGTCCTGCACCCCTGCCCCTGTCCAGCGTCACACATAGAGTGCTCTGTGACCTTCAACCCATTCCATTTTTAATAATTGGCATGTGAGTTTAAATTCCTTGGGCATCTCCCATTGGTTTCTTTACCAGAAGTCCTGTTAGTGTCTGTTCATTTGTCTAAGTTCTACCTATCGGAAAGTCAGCCTGCATTCCCTCTTCCTTCAGGAAGCCTTCCCTGATAGCTTGCGCTCAAGGGGATGATAACTCTCTTATCTCTTGTAACAGTTAATATCGGAACAATGTATTGGAAATGATGTGTGTAAAACAGTAACACTTAAGATCACAATGCTTAAGTCACTGGTATTCCTCAGGCTAAGAAATCACAGCGCACCAAACCATACAATCAGATTGTCAAGTGAAACTTCATATCCAAACATGAGGGCTAAGTTAAGGAAACGGATGCACAAGAAGTTAAAGCTCCCGAGAGAAGGCTGGGGACAAGGTTTCTTCGTGCTTCTGCAGCTGTCTGTACTGGAAAGGGGAATGCTGATCTCATGAAACAATCAAGCAGTCTTGACTCCACCACTTTTTCGGGATGACTTAGTTCAAGCCCTGTCCCCTTTCTGGTCCTCACTTTCCATATCTATAAAAATGAGGCAGAAAGATCCACACCGGTCCCTCCATGAAAAGAATCAATTCAACTAAAATTGGGATTTGGATAAGAACCATTCTGGGGCTCTCTCTAGCTAGGTGTCACCATCACCCCACCCCCCAGCCCCGTATTGTATTTCCCTTTCTTCTTTTCTTTGTTTTTCTTTCTCTCTTGCTCTCTCTTTCTCTTGCTCTCACTCTCTCTCTCCAGTGCTAGATGCAACCTTTAACTAAAAACCTTCTTAACACCACTTCAATTTCTTTTCTTTGGCCATTGCTGTAAAACAATACACCTCTGGTTTATATAAAATTAGCATTACCGAAATTATAGGGCCTCTAAAGAAAAAAGCCCTAGAATATTTTCAAGAGTATTATTCTTAGCAGATGTGGATAAGGCTATTCAGTGGCGGGTCTCATAAATTCTACTACCTAAATCAAATTTTCGCAGTTCTGTTTTCTTTCACTTCTATGGAGATATGAGCCTCAGAGTTTCGTTTAAATTTCAAAGCTTGCAGACACTCAGAAAAGATACCAATCCCGTTTCCTTTCCTGCTTTTGCTTTTTTTTTTTTAGTAATCCCAAAGTTATAAAGCATTCAGCCTAAGACAACTGAAGGACAGGTTCTGCAGGATTGCAATACCGTGAAAAACGGGAGCTATGAAGGAATAAACAGAAACGTTCTCATGTGGGCAGGGTGGAGATGGGGTAGAGATCTTAAATTAACAAAACCTTGATTTCATTAAAAACATTCATGAGCAATATATACTCTCAGTATTTTCTGTAATAATACTGGTGGATTCTCTGTAAACATGAATTTCCTAAAATAGGAAGCAGCTGCTTCCTTCATCTCTTCTGTTTGTACAACTAATTTTACCATTTACTTCAAACAAAGTCCATGTCCTGAGACAGTTTGACTCGACAGCGTGTACCCATAATTGCTTGGAGCTTTAGTACCAGGAGCAGCCTCAGAGGGAACAGGTGTTAAAAACATTGCTGGGTTCTTCTGCCTCTCGGCTCTGTTTCTTGTGACACCCTCAACTCTTCAAAGCAGTGACTGAGAAGCAAGCTTTCAATGTGTCCTGTGGGCTTTAACGCCAACTGCCCAAAGCTCTAAGCAGCTCTGGTCTTCTCTCTTGCCTCCTTCCCTTACACATCTTGGCCTCCGAAACTTAACTCCTTGTTAAAAAAGCTCTTGGCAATGGATGAGGCCTCAGAAATCTCAGGAACATTTCGACCAAGAATATAGGACCTCGAAACCTGGTCTGACAATGTTGAAGATGTGATAACAAGTTGTGCAAATATGTTACAAAGTGTCCCTATTGCTTCCTTCTTTGCTATGAGTCTCTGGCTCAGCAGGATTTAAACCTTCATTTCTCAAAGCTAACAGCTCTCCTGCCCTCTTTTTGGCTCATGTGAGTCTGGAAACGTTTGAGATGATGGATGGCTCAACAAATTTGTCTCTCAAAAAGCCAAACTATTTCAGAGCTGAGTTTCTGTTTCTTTTCTCCCTTTGTCTACATGATATATGTACTTCCCCCCCCCCACTGTCGACTAATTTATTCGTTGATCCCCAAGGCTGTCTCTCTGGGGAAAAGTAAACATAAACCAGAAAGGAAAGGCGGCAAAGAGAAGTCTACTTACCGTCTTTTGAACTACCAACACCATAATGGTTGCCACAGCAAAGACGAGACACAGAGCCAGCGTGGCCATGGTGAAGTAGACGTAACTGCGGCTAGTGGTTCCCAGGTGGCTGGCGACAGAACCCGCTGGCACATGCATGGCTGTGTCTTGAGCAGGGGCCATTCGGTTGAATGCTTGCTGCAGCCCCGGCTCCATTCTTATATAGTCTTCCCCACATCACACCTTATCTCTCCTCATCTAATTCGGTTCTGGGCCCATCTCGGTTCCAAGAAGGATTCTCCCCTGCATCCTGGATCATGTGACTTGGAAAAAAACCTTCACCGGCTGCCTTGCGAAGAAACTCTTCTCTGGGGGCGTGAGGCGAAAGGCGGCAGCAGGGGTGGGGGGAAGGCTCATTTTTCATCGCCAGGGATTAATTTGAGTGCAGAGAAACTGTAGCTACAGAGAAGGTGGCTGATTTCAGAGGGCGAGTAGGAAAATGACGGTTTCCCTAATCTGGGGTGTGTGTGTGTGTGTGTGTGTGTGTGTGTGTGTGTGTGTGCACAGAGTCACTTCTGTTTCGTTTAGACTCAGCCACAAAACGCCTTCCTGCTCGAGAAGTTGCTCATTCTTTTTAGGGAGGCCTGTGGCTCAGAAGACCTTGTCAGAAAATGTCTCTTTCCTGGGCGTCGGGGAGGCTGGATTCATTGGATTGCAGTAGAATGACTCAAAATCGTTTGGTTTGACAATATCGGCTCCTGCCGAAAGCTGGAAATGCTACCCGATAACTGGGAAGGAAGAGCCTTCGGATCTGGAGATTTATGCAAATGGGGAGGAGCTCATCGCAAGCATGAAATCTGGGAACAGTGCAAAGAGGCTGTTTCCACTCAGGAATCTGGAAACACTGATCTTTTGAACTAAATTTTCTGCAGAGTGTATCGGGATCTGTTCAACTTGCAGATAAACCCAGGCCTGCCGTACAACTCAGAAAAAGGGGAAGGAATTGGCAGTGAGGGTGGGGGTGGGGAAGTGGTCTGGTGCAGAATGTGGGGTGTGTGTGTGTGCTCTGCGTGGTGTACGCACGTGCTGTGTGTGGGTGGTTGCTATGTAGACTGTGTATGTGATGCATGTGTGATATGTGGTGCATGTTGTGAGTATATGTATGTGTTGTGTGTTATGTGTGTATGTGACTATGACAGTTGAACCTCTGCTAGCTCAGGCACAGTGCTAGGAGCTTTACATGCTGCCTCTGCGTGACACTCCTCCCCCACCTGCTCCCCTCTGAGGCAGACGATCTTTCTTTTTTTTTACCAGATGGGAAACTGGAGGATCCTAGAGAATGAAAACTGTCTCAAACGAAGTCACAAATGTTGATCGGTGAGATAACGTGGGTGCATAGCCATGCCTGGCTGGTCCCCAAGAATGCTAAAGCATTCAACCATCACTCACTTAAAGGCTGGAAACCTGAGGTCCAGCCTCAGCCCTGCCCCTTACTGGCCTTGAGTCCCTGCACGACTCCATATGGCTCTCCCTTTTCCCCACGTGCGTTCACAGCCACCGTGAAGATCAAACGGGATTTTGACGTCAGAGTGCTTCGTGAATGGGAATAAACTTGGCAGTGGTGTTGGGCCATTCCGGTTAAATGGCCGAAGTGGTCCTCAGGGCCCAGTCTGGAATTTAGATAGATTCAATAAATAAGGTCTCTAGAGGAAGAGCTGGGCACATCTGTGCTTACGAATGGTCTCCTTTTAAACCGTGAATCATTGCAGAGCTGGTGCCTCCGAATGTAGCCCCTTGAAGACTTCATTTGGAAGTACCCCCCTCCCTTCTTTGCAGCACCCCTCTGCTTTTTACTCACTTTTTGGCTGCAGTATCCCTGAGAGCCAACAGAAACCCCAGGTCCTCCTAAGGAAACGTCCTGTGTCCAAAGCCACACTAGGATGATGCCCAGACCCCAAACTGCTGAGCATCGCCCAAGCTAGTCAGGCTCTAGGAACTGGCCTGGATATTCCTTCCCGGGAAATCTATAAAGTCACAGATCGCCGAGACAGAAGAGCCATCAAGAAGTAAATGATTTTCTTAGGCTGAATAGAGTGGTAAGCTGTATACCTATTTTACAGCCAAGGAAGCTGAGGCCCCCTCAATCCCAATTCGGGATTCCCCTCCCCAGTTTTAGACATCACTGTATAAGTTTAAGTAAGGTGTATAGCGTGATGGTTTTTCTGTTTGTTTTTTCACTATGGCGAAATGATGACCACAATAGGTTCAGCTATCACCTGGGCTTGGTTTTGGAAGAAGTGGGTACACATGCTCATTTGGTCTGGCAACTGGGGGGAATGAGGCCAGCCAGCGTTTTTTGGGCGTGTGTGCCTGGCTGATTTGGGGAGCAGGCTGTGTCCTGTGGTGGGCATGGGCAGTGAGTGGGTGGCAGGGGGGCTCTGTCATCTGCCCAGAGCTGCTGAGAATAGGCTGCTCCCTCGGCTTCTCTCTTCAGTGTCTTTGATGAAAGTGGAAAACTTCTGATTGTTGAATGGAAGCTGTGGGTGTTGAGAAATAAAAAGGCTTTGCTTGAAGTGCAGGTCTTCCTGAAGGCCCGTGGGGCTGAGAAGGGAGATGGAAAAAAATGTTTGTCTTACAGTTACCCGTTTTGCATACTGTACAATGACCTGGGAGGGAAGGCTGACAAGGGGGAAAATCAACCTTTGTGTTTACTCAGAACCTTCTGAGCAGTTGAGATTTTCATATCAGTTTGCTTTTCTAGCAGCCTGTGGGCCTGATTTCACTTCTCTCGCGGTGGCACTTGTCCACTCGCAAACTTTCAATGGTTCCCTAATTCCTGCCCCCACTGACCTAAACTTCTCCCTGGTGCCAAGCTGTTCTAGAAGCGAGCTTGGCTAACTTGGCAGCCCCATCCATTGTGCTAGCTGGCTTTTTTCTCCTTTCTAGTCAGCTGCCACCCAATGTACAAATGGAAAAAGCCTTTACAAAATTTCTTATTGGGTGATTCTCAAATCCTTTCTGCGAGTGAAACTGGGCAGGGAGTGAAAAAAGTAAAAAGGCAGAGTTCTCTGGCAAAAGCAGATGGGACAAGGAGAAGGGCTGAGTCCAGCCTGCTCATTTTACCTTTCAATGGCCTGGGGTCTCTCCAAGATGGAACAAAGTTTGGAAACTTCTGATTTAGCTCAAAGCCCTCATTGCTCAAATCAGGAAACTAGCCAAAAAAAAAAAAAAAGGATGGAAATGACTTGTGGGATTTCACATGGGGAGGGTAGTGACAAGCTTAACAGTCCCCTGTGCAGGGCCGGCCGAGTGGTGCGATGGTTAAGAACTGGTTTGGGACGTCAGAGGGCCCCGGTTCAGATCCCACATATGAAGGCCAGTGACACTGCCCTCCACAGCTAAGATGCTGAACAACAGCTCAACCTGGAGCTGGGCTGCCATGAGTCGCCGGCGATGGCGTAGGCTGGAAAGAAAGAAAAAAAAAAAAAAAGAAAAAGTCCCCTGTGCTCATCTTCATCCCCCTTACTAACACCCCAGGCACACCCAGGCTTCTTTCCATGTTCTTCTCACCATTCCCTTGTTTCAGGTCCTTCCTGCTCTCCAGGCCCCCGCCAGCCTGCCTCACCTCCTCCAAGAAAGCCTGTCCAGATCACGCAAGTCCACCAACGTCCTCTCTCCAGAACCCTCTCTCTGCATGCCACCCAAACTTGCATCTAATTATATGCTAATCGTCTTGATATAGGACTGTCAAGTGTGTGAATTTTGCTGTTCCCATAAGCTTGAGAGTCCCAGAGGGCAGTCTTCATGCTCCCAGTCTTCTTTTGATTCCTTGCATCCCGCCTTGCATTACTCGGCACTGGGCCTAGATATGATCAAGCCTCAGTCAGTGCTTGTGCTGACTTTGTGTGTGTGGGAAAAGGAACATTCTAGAAGGTTGGCTTATACAAAGGAATTGTGTGATGGCACATTTGCCTCTTCTCAACTGTCCCCTATTTCCCTGTCCTTCTGCAGATGGCTCACCTGGCTGCCCATCAGCTTTTAGGTTCCAGCATGGCCCCATGAGACAGACCACCAGCCTTTTTTCAGGCTACAATTAGTAGTGAAGGGTGGCTGCAGCATCTGAGACTCAGAACTCATTTCTTATCCCTTCAAGAAGGAGCTCCAGTTTCAAAAAGAGGCACCAGCTCTAGACCCCCCCCAATCTCCACCCCACCCCAACTCACCCCAACCCACCCCACCCCACCAGGGCTTCCCCATAGAAGGGACTGTGAGATCTCTAATCATGTATACTAGTGCTTCCCGAAATGTGGCTCCTGGAGCAACAGCAGCATAACTTGGTGGCATTGCAAATTCTCGGGCTCCACTCTAGACCTACTGAACTAAAACTCAGGCTGGGGTCCAGCAATCTTTGTTTGAACAAGCACCCCAGAGAGTTCTGATTCCTGAAACCATTTGGAAATCATGTGTTTAAGGAAATAACCGAAGTTCCAGAACGAGCCTCCAAGGGATTATCTAGTCCAGACTGTGTCCTTTGGGCAGGGGAACTCCTAACCCCATTGTGTAGATGAGAAAACTGAGGCAGAAGTCATGGCCCACGGTCATGGAGCTGGGGATGTTGGCATGAAGCCTCACTTTTCTGCCCCTTGATTGAACCCTCTTTCCAACCTCAAATGTGACTATAGGCTGTACAAATACTATTGCTTATGCAGATGGAGATTTTTTGTAATATTTATTTAAATTTTTCTTGTGATCACTCTATGTGGTAGAAAGGAATATTTTTAAAAACTATTGGTATATGCGAGAGAAGGACAAACTCCCCCCAGGATGTTTTCAAGCAATAAACATGCAATGTTACTGGCTACTGAGGAGGAAGGGTCCTGCCCCATTAACTGCAGAGCCTTCTGTGTTGCTGGGGCTAACTTGAGTTGATTGGACCTCGGAGTTGGCCAGAATGACATTTCACTGAGAGGCTGCTATGAGAACAAAAAACAGAGTAGGGCAGGTTTAGAGCAGGCTCAGCAAACTATGGTTAGGGGGTCAAACCTATCCGGCCACCTAGTTTATAAATAAAGCTTTATTGAAACACAGTCATGCTCCTTTATTTATGCAGTATCTATGGCTGAGTTTGCATTACGCCCACAGAATTGAGTAGCTGCAGCAGAGACCTCACAGCCCAACAAGGTCTAAAATATTACTATTTATCCCTTTATAGAAAAAGTTTGCTGATCCCTGATTTAGAGTATTGAAATGAACCCAAGGCAGGATAACCAAAGAAGGGATTTGGAAACGAGAACAGAAATGTATTTCCTAAGAGTCCTCTATAAAATCTTCATTTGTGTTCCCATTGCTACCTCATGCTTCCCTGTAAGGAAATTCTTTTTTGGGGACTAATTGTAGAGGAGTTAGATGTCCTGATAGGTGCATGACAAAAGTAGACTATTGGAGACGACACAGGAGCTGAGAGAGGTGTGGCAGAAAACACCTGGGAAATACCATTGTGTCTAGACAGGTTACT